CGGTTCGTTGCAGACCCCTGTGTGCGGGGCCGTGCCCTTAATGTGCTTGCCGGGAGCTGACCCAAAGGTGCCGGGCACTCTCATCTGACCCTGCCCTTCACCGTGGAGCCTCTTGTCCGCACCTCCGCACAACAGTCCCTGTGACAATCCTCCGTTTTTCCTCCCCAGTTATACCAGTTGTTTCCCCCGGGACACCACAACAGTTGCTCTATTGAAGGCCACGCTGATTACAGCACAGCGGTGACACTGTAAGAGATGCAATTAGCCTGGCACAATCCTCTTCAGAAAACCAATGTGGCCCTTTTATTCCATTTCCTCTGCATCATTCTTTCTGCTAGAAATGCAGTCCAAAGCCCTGCGGAGGGCATGGGCCAGGCAGGCCAGGGGTTGCCCAGACCCATTTGCACTCTCTGGTAACAGGCAGATTGAAAAGGTTTTTGTTTCCACTGTATGCCTTCCCCAAATGGTTGCTGAAGACCCTTGCTCTTGCCTGACCGTTGAGCTCTGCACGCAGCCTGGCATAGCCCCGTGCTGGCCACCATCCCCTCCCTGCTCTAAGCCATCAAGCGGTGAGAGAAGGTGTCTGGCCTCCTGCCCATCGTGCTGGCCTCAGGGCAGCCGCAGGAGCAAGACCCCAAGAAAGCTCCAGCCTTAGGGTGAAAGAGCTGGAGGGAGCTGGCAAAAGAGGGAAGAATCAAGGTCTGCGATTTGTCAGGCAAAAGGTTCAAAGGTGTCCCTCTGCCTACTGAGGGGGGATGGTGCCTGTTGTGCCTCCTGCATGGGAGATGGCTCCTCTTACCCACTTCTGCATCTGCTCCTCCGGCCTGGCCCCGTTTTCTGTCAGCTGAGGAAGGTGTATGAGATCCGACCAGCTCCTTGGGGACTGGAGCTGCTGCCTGTGGCTGATCTCTGTGTCCGTAGGATCCACCTGATGGCTGGGCGGATTCCCCTGGGCGCAGACCGGGCAGCAGTGGCAGGTGAGATGGAAACCACCTTCACTGAGAATCTCAGATATGCTGCTGACCTCCTGGCCCAGGTAAGTGGGGAACAGGTCCTGCTCTGTGGGTGCAGCTCTTAAGGTACCAAGGATGGAAAATCCCCGACCAGCCTGGCACAGGGAAGGAGCACTCCCTGCCGCGGTGGTGACAGGCTGCTCCGCAGGGTGACATTACTGTGTTATAGGAGGACATGACTGGACTGGTGGAACCTATTAACAACCGCATCACCGACCCTCGCTACTATCTGAATACCCCGCACCAAGGTAAGGCAGACATCTTTCTCCAAAATCTCCTTCAAGGGACGAGAAGGAGCCCCAAAGTCTGAAAGGCAGGAGGCTGCCTTGGCTGCAGGGCACTGCTGAGGAAGCACAGTTGATGAAGGGAGGGGGTCTCAGGGCTTCACCATGAAGCTTCCTGCCTAGAGGTGATGGTCTCTCATTTCTTGCACCCTTAGCTGCTGCCATCCTGCAGAAGGTGGGGAGGCCCAACCTGAAGCTGCAGCTGGTGAGTCAGGCATTGAGGATCTCCAGGGTCCACCCTCCACCAGGGAACCATGCACAGGCCCCAGGGGAGGGTGAACTTGGGCTTGTTATCCCTTCCTGGGGACGCGGGGAGGGACAGGGACCATAGCACAGCTGTCCTTGATGGCTCAGTGCTGAACAGCTGCACCATCCGTCTCCTCTCTCTCCCACAGGATCTCTTTCACTGCCAGATCATGGATGGGAATTTGTCACGCAACCTGGAGACATACTTCCCACTCATTGGTAACACCCTGCACCCAAACCAGCTCCTCTGTGGCCATGGGGCAGGAGTGGCTTTGCGATGGTGACTTCCTGGCCCATGCTTTGTTGTGGCTGGCTGGGGGCATCGGGCTGCTCTTGGGTCACACCTAGAGAAGGCTGCAGGCAGGGCTGCCTTGGGCAGAGCGTCTCCCATTCCCTCCCTAGATCACATCCAGATCGCGCAGGTGCCAGGGCGGCACGAGCCTGACAGCCCTGGGGAGTTGAACTTCCCCTACATCTTCGAGCTCCTGGAGTCCCTCGGTTACACTGGCTACGTGGGGTGCGAGTATGCTCCGAAAGGTGAGTGGGCCTGCAGGCTGTCTGAGCCCCACTGGCAGGTCCAAGCATGGCGCAGCAAAGACAGGCAGGTCCTGGGGGCTGGCAGGTAGCGGGCATCAGAGTCCCTACCTGGGGGTGAGAGCCCTGCTCAGAGCAGAAGCTGCTCCAGCTTGCCTGGGGGTGCCAGTGGGAGACCTTGTCTGTCACTGCAGGAGACACCCTGGAAGGTCTGGGCTGGCTGCGCTCATACTGGGAGAGCAGAGGGCTGCAGTGTGATGGGACCAGCAAGGCAGCAGAGTAAAACAAATAAACCACTGGAATAAAAGTCAATGGCTTAACAGAGGAGCAACTCTGTCTTCTCTACGACTAGGGGGTAGTGGTAGGTGGGATGATTCCTAGAGCAATATTAGGACCATCTATGTTGTATTTCCCTCCCCTACCCTCATCTACACAAGTACTGTCTGCAGCAAGTCATATTTGGGGATGGCTTGGGCACCACTGTAGGGGACCAGGGAGAGATTTCCAGTCTTCCTTGCTGAGGGGAGCATTCACTCCTTGGGAAGGGTGTGAGTTTTCCCAGTCCAGCTCCAGCTAGTGCCTGCAGTTGTGGGAAGAGGGCTCTGGGCTTCCAAGTTCTGCAGTTGTTGAGGCTGCTGCCAGCACCGACCCTGCAGCAGGTGAGTAAAGTGAAACCAGCCACCCCCTCACAGGCTCCCTGAACCAAGGTAACAGGTTGGGGGCTGCCTGCTCACAGACAGTCAGGGCATTGCAAACCCAGCCAGCCCCGCAGCCAGGGTTGCCTCTGCATCCCTTATGGCAGGCTTTCCACATCCTAGCCTACGACACGTGAGCAGGGATCTAGTTCAGTTTATTTCACAGACACCAGATACATCAATGGCTTTAATGTACATCTCCATAAAACCTCCAGTTCACCCTTCCTGTCCCATTCGGTGCTCTCCTGATGAAAGCAAAGGGCCAGAAGTGGGCAGCCTCACTGCCCAGAGCCCTGAAGTCCAGGACTCTTTCCGCCTAAAGCCAGAGTGCTGTGCGGTGCTGCCCTGTGCAGAAGACGTGCTGTGTGTGCTCCTCCGTGCCTTCCCAGCAGGCAGAAGTCATCTGCAGCTGCCAGAGCCACGTCCCTGAGAGTCGCTCTGCTTCAGCCAAGCACAGCAGCCAAGCTCCTGCCCTTGCGGTTCGGCTCATGGTCAATCAGTATCAAACTCACTGAAAACAGCGCACCAAGGACCACACCAGCCAGCCAACGATGGAGGTGCGTATCATCCCCAGGCTCCTCAGTTCAGTACCCATGTGTGCCAGAAGCAGCGCTGCCTGCAGTGCCAGAGCACAGGTCCCCACCCGGCCCCGAGGCCTGTTCTTCCCCATTGTCACTCATGGCACAGCCATGCCGAGAGAGGTCCGGTACACGCGTTGCTCCAGGACATGGGTGCCAGTGCTAGAGCAGGCCTGTCCAGAGGTTGAAGCAGGCAGTGTTGATAACTGACTCCAGGTGGTGGTACGTGGACACAAGCTGTGGCAGGGGGCTCTCGCTGTTCTGGGGCTGCACTGGGAACGGCTCCCGGAAAACCACAGTGAGGCTCTGCTGAGAGGGAGGAGCAGGTCAGGGGACAGGATTCAGACAAGCACTGTGCAGTCCCTCGCCCAGGTGTGTGGGCACCTTTTTGGCAGTGTCAGGCAGGTACTGCGAGTAGTCCCAAAATGCCAGTGGCACGAAGCTACTGCCTCCTCCTGTGACAGAGGATGTCTGAGCCTCCTCCCAATTCTCCTGGTGGAAATTAGGTGCAAGGACTTGCCCACTCACTCTGTCCCAGCCCCCATGCATCTGCAGTTATACCAACCCCAGCAGCAGCCTCAGGAGAGGAGGGGATCCTACTGCCTCCACAGTAATAGGGACTTCCAGGGAAATTAGAGGGAAATTTCTTCTTCTAAGGCAAAGAGTAGGAGTGCAACAAATGGGGAAGGGGAGGAGATTAAACGCAATAACTGCAATCCTAAAAATAAATGCTGGCTGCTCCATTCTCATTAGTACTCATTAGACTGTACTGACAAGGCAGGGCAAGGGCAGAGGGGAGCAGAGAACAAGGTTCAGAACAGGTGGTTGCAGGAGCTGAAGCAGAAGAAAAACGTGAGAGACTCGGTGCACTGAGATCAGCATCATGGAGGCAAGACACAGGGACCACACGTTCTTCAGAGCTGAAATGCAGCACATCTAGTAGCAAGGGTCCCCTAACAAACTCGTAAAGCCACGAGAACAGCTGTGTAACTGCAAAACAGCAAAGGCACCACCATCATTTAAGAGGGAAGAGAAAGTGATTTGTGAGCCTAACTCCAGCAGCGTGCAAGGCTTTAGAGCAGGCTCAGAGAGAAAGAACCACAAGGAAAATGCAGCTCGGTGTTACCAAAGCGATGTGCTAACACTAGAGTACTCTTTGATAAGGTAATATTTCTAAACAAAGGAATCATGGTATATCTTCTCTGAGCTTCAAGAAAGATTTGATGTAGTGCCATGTGGGAAATTTAGGTAAGCTGAAAAGAGGAATTAACACAAAAATTACAAGGTGAAGATGATAGTGCTGAAAGGGGAAGTAGCAGGCTGGAGAGAGGTTACAAATGGAGTTCCTCCACGACAGGTTTTGGGACTCATGTTGCCTAGTACTTTAACGAATCTGGCACAAAGATGAGGAGCATGCTGATAAAATTTGAGGCACTGATACAAAAGAGGATTGGGATAATGCAAAAAAAGCCCTAGAGACTTTTGAGGCCACAGGAATGGGATGAATGTTAAGTGCAAAATACAAGGTGAGGAACACAAAGGATTTCTGTTACACAATGGGAGTCGTTGAGAGAGGTGATGGAGGGTCTGAGTGTATCGTATCAATGACCACAAGGTGACACTATGACCAGTAAGCCATGACCATGAAAAAGCAAATACCACCCTAGGCTGTATCAGAAGCACCGTGCAGGGACAGAAAAGCCGTAGTGCAACCACAGAAGGCTTTGCTGAGTCTCCTCAGAAATACTGGGTGCAGTCCCGGACACCTGTATTTACAAAGGCTGACCTGAGCCCTGAAAGGCTCTGAACAACAATGAAGCCATTGGGGAAGGGAAGGGAGGCTTAAGAGCTCAGCTTGCTTAACACAGCAACATGGAGTTAGCAAAAATTCCACCTTCAGAAGTGGAGGTGACTTGAGGGGACCAGAGAGGAAGCAGGTACCTGCACAGTGAAGAGTGGTTTCAGCTCTGAGCTACCACTGGCATGAAGAGGATAGAACTGGCCAAGATAAAAGCTCCAGCACAAAATGGGAAGGGTTTTTCACCATGAGGTGGCAGAAGGCACTGAGCAGTCTTCCAGCAGGCACCACCTCTTCTGTTTCCCCTACCTGCTTATAAGATGGAGTGTGATTTGTTTACAAAGCGATCAGTTACGCTGAAGTCACTGCAAAAGCCTCGCTGTGGACTGAAGTGCCTTGTAGATCCCCTGCTCTGACAGTTGCATTCCCTGTGACCCATCCTGCACCGTGACGGGAGCACAGCTGAAAGCAGAGTATTTTTGCCCTCAGGTCCAATGAAGGCCAAGGCCCATGTAGGTTTGCTAGGACCCTCACAGTGCAGGTCACCTTCTACCCAGCCTGCAGCACTGGTGGTGACCCCTCCCAGCCAGACCCAGTGTGATCTGGCTTCAGACTGAATACAGAAGGACTCTTTAGCCCAGATAGAGTGACAGCTAAGAGCATGATCCAAAAGCAACCCCGGAAGGAAAAGAGGATCAACTGCTCGCTGTTTTCCAATACAAGAAGAAAGGGGCATCACATGAAAAGAGCAGAAGGAGCTTCAAAAACAAGCCAAGGAAGGCAGCTCTTCACTTAGACTGCAATTGCCTCATAGAGCTGCAAGTCAGGGGAAATCATGGATGCCAGAAATCAACCAGAGGGAACAAAACCACAGAGGGCTATTAAATAAATGCAAAGGCCACTTCTAGCTCAGGATGGGCCTGAGCCACAGATTGTCAGATGTTGGGACAGTAATTAGGAAAGGTATTACAAGCTTCTTCACCTGCTCTTACTCTCCCCATGCGCACCTGCTCTTGGCCACTGCTGGATGAAAGTAGACCGATCCCTGGCCTGACCCAATATAGCTGCTCTTTTGTTCCCAAGTTCTTACCGTCTTTCCTGAATGGGAATCCAGAAACACAAGAACGAAGCAATCCGTGAACTTCTGGTTGAGCACGACCTGTCAGGAGAGCCACAGCACAGATTGGAAAGGAGACAGTACAAACCCTAGGACAGGGATACAAACAACACACACCCAGGGACATGCTGATGTGCAGGACGAGTGGCATGACAGAGCTGTGAAGGTGCAAGTCTGCCTGCCCCACAGGTGACACTGCCAAACCATAGGGCTACACATGGCATGAGGCTCTGGGGGTGTCAAGTGTCCTGCCTGGGGACAGACAGACACTGCTGGAGCACAGGAGCACACACCTCATGCCGCACCAGTAGCAGAGTGAAGAGCAACATCATGATAGTGCCCACGTTGTCCTGACAGCACGTGCCAGGCTCACACTGTGAGAACCCACAGCAGGCAGGGGCCCTGGACAGGGGAGGGAGGCTGCAGGTGGGCAATGGGCTGTGTCTTACCAGATACTGGGTGCCGGTTTCAGCGTTGTGGAAGTGCCGACAGCTCTGGGGAAAGCGGCTCAACAGCACTTTGATGAGGCTCTGGTACCAGGAGACTGTCATGGTGAGGAAGCATCCCTGCAGGCATGGAAAAGGGCTGATTTCAGCCTCCCACTGGCCATAGCACCAGCAGCCATAATGCTACAGCAGCCTTGAGACCCCAAATCAGACACATCCCTCACAGCCCACTGAGGCATGCTGACCTAGGGCTATTCACTCTCCATAGACAGGTCCATGCAGCCTTCCCCTTCCCCGGCCGGCTAGGAGCTATGTTGCTGCCTCTATGTTCCCACCAAGCAGGAAGAGATGTGCCCTGCAGGCCCTTCACCCGGCACCCTACTCCACCGCCAGAGCAGAACAGTGGCTGCTGTGCACCCCAACTCCATCCCTGCTGCTCACCAGCTGAGGGTCGACATCAGCAATGGATTTCCCATGCACAGCGTCAAGCAGCTCCTCCAGCTCCACCAGCGAGAGCTTGCCTAGCTTCAGCTTGTCGGAAGCCAGAGGCTCCAGAAGGAAGAGGCGCTTCCAGAGGTTATCCCTGCGGCAGTGGCACTTGGCCAGCTGCACCATGCTGCTGAGCTGCTTCTGGGCTGACGCCACCTCG